ATGGCTTGGATAGCAGACCCTATATTGAACAAAACATTGCGCGCTCCTCGCCGCTCCCAGAGATCGTCCCGATGGATTGTAGTATCGAGCAAGCAAATAAAGTTTAGCAATTTACCATCTGCTGAGAATCTCCCGGTGCTTCCGTCGATGAGAAGACCAAGGCGACACATTGAACGTTCACACTATGCCATCGTAGTCCCCGCTGAGAAGGCCCCGTCGACGAGGACGTAACAATCATAACGGGCCAAAAAATCACGTGATCGCACAACTCAGCCAGGAATCAGGTTTGACAGACATTTCTTACAAAAACCTACCTTGTGCTCAAAACATGGCGGACTTGACTTTTATTTTAGTTGACGAACACTCGGGGCCTGCGCCAGATCGACTATATATGCCTCCAGCTATGCAGGGGGGGTTTAGTGCTTAGCAAAGAAGGAGGGAGTGGCAGTACGTTCTCGCAGTCTCACAATTGCTTCTCCGTGTTGTGAGACTAACTTGTAACTAATCCATTTCTATAAATAAAGTATAGAGTGAGGGGATAACTCTCCAATAATCTCTTTTCTCTCCAAACTATAACACTTCTCAATGATCTGGATAATGATTTTAATAACTTTCTTTTCCAGTTCTCTACAAGACTTTCATTGAGCTTCAGTAAACCCATGTGTTACCCTGGGATTTCACATTGATATGTCAATGGATCTTCATTGTTTCATTAGGTGTTCATTGTTGATACTATCCAAAGATATCCTGGTCTCGTCCAATTATTAAGTAATAAATGCTTCACAAGATCATTAACAGTGTATTTCCCAGCACACTGCCAAAAAGTAAGTAACCGCAAAACATGTCAATAATAATTCCACGCTCTAAAGAGAGTTGCACGAATTAAGTAACACAATGAGATTCTAAATGCCTCCAATCAAACAGGATTCAAAAATAATTGAATTTCAACAAAATCAAGCATCTCATATGAAGTAACTAGATTGCTTACAATTGGATATGCAAAACTCCATACTGCATGAACTGCAAACACCTAAATTTTAAATCTCAAGAGACCAACAAATGAAACTAACTTTGAGGAAACAAAAAAGAAATAATTAGTAGCTTGAATTACACAGTAATGGAAGCAGAATGGACAGGAATCTATACGGGTCTAGCTAATGGAGAAGTCTTGTAATTTCTGGTCATTGTATTTTCCCATATCCTATTGGTATAAAGTGTTTAACACTATTATTATCACTTACGACCCTCTCCAGACCAATGCTTTCTAATTTAAAATTCAACACCAATATCATATATCAAATAAAATATTTTGAGCTCATTAAACACTATTCAAATATATTTTCACTTCTGTTACCAAGTCAAAAGCTCTAATGGAAAGGAAACAGAAAGCATGATTCTATCAAGTCATACCATGGAGAGTGGATGCGAACAAAGTTTCCAACTACCAACTCCACATTTTCACATATCTTCGAACTGAAAATAATTGTCCTCTTCGTGCTTCCCACAACAGCTGCATATTTGATGGTGGCCCTATCAGACTGGGAATTCTACAAAAAAAATTGCACAAAATCATGTGTAAGCACCACAGAGAAAATACAATTCTCATTTACCAACACAATTATAGCTATATCATTCAACCCTTTGCGTTCTCATTACACAAAGAAAGAAGAGTATGCAGGGAAGGGCAAGAAGTAGACTTGTTAATGACAGTAAAAGATGTTTTGTTCCAGACAGAGAAAGCAATCAGAAGGTAAAGCCTGCAGAAATAGAAGTATGTATCTTTACCAGAAAGCAATGGCCTCCAAGCAACATAGGAAAAGAGTATATATCCTCAAACTTAATAAAAATATAGAGTACTGCAGCGATTAGATCGTCACATCTGCTTTAAAGGTTGTGGGACTAATCACCTCAACTACAAAATTCTAGGAGACAACAATTATCATAATGCAGTGCCACCTGAATAGTATATTGTATACTAAATTTACTAATGATCAAAGCATACTTGAGGGAGATAAAAGGAGGAATGGCAGATACAGCAAACATTTAGTGGAATAACAATAAGAAGCATCTAAGTAAGAATTTACGCTGGGACACCAAAGCAAGACAAGGTAGGAGGCAAGTCTCTTATCTTAGACAGATATCTGGGAACAAACATGCTACATGAGCCAAAAGCTTATAGTTTGCACACTGTCCAAATTGCAACAAGTTCAAAGTGAAGAAGTATCAGAAACAACAGAACTGTTGGTAATTTCAGCAATCCGACATCTATAGATAAAGTTTAAATGAAGCAACTTCACAATCATTGAAGCTTTCAGCCATATCAAAAAAAAAAAAAAAAATACAAAGGTCCTAATTAAGTGCTTGTCCACTGATCTGAATTAAAACTCAGTGAGAGTTTCTACGCAAGGATTAAATTTATTGTATAAGAAACTTGGAATCTAGATCTCCGTAAGTACCAGAGAAATGTAAAATTCAAGCCTATTTCAAATGTGACCTACCAGCGGCCAGCCAAATAAAGTCTGTACTAGCTTGCAAATTACATGGCATGGGTGTTTGCTCCAGAAAAAGTAAAAGGAAAGAGACAGCAAAAGTAAGGTCATTAATTTCTCACACAAACCATCATAAGGTTTGCCTAAAAAGTAAGCTAGGTTATCCAGCATAACTTAGTTGAATATTTCATATATACAATGATATAACTAGCATAACAAGACTGACATTAGGGTATTCACCAAGTAAGCATTGGCAAACTGTCAGCTTCGCCTCTAAAAACCTTGTCAAAATTTGCACATCCAAGCACTCTGAGTCATCTGAAGAACAAGATTCACAAAATGGAATTAACATGCTATTTGCGCAGAAACCAATCTTGCAAAAGTGAAACTTTACATGGTCTCAACCAAATTTAGAATATAAAATATCAATCAAAAATTAAGAGTATGCTAATTCTTACTAGGGCTTCTCACTGTTTGTGAGTGCTTTAAGAATTGCAGATGCCTATCTTTTTCAATCTGCAATACTTGTTGTAACCTCCCAAGATATCCAATCCTGCATAAAAGGTATATATCTGATAATGTGCGTATCCGTGTGTATAGAAAATGATGGTGCTTAGAAGTACCTCAATTATATCACAGACATACATGTATTATAATAAGTCTGCATTTTAGAATCGACGCTCACCCTGTCTGTTTAGCTGTTGGATAAGGGGAAGCCTCTATTTCCGATTTACTGAAAGCTTCCTGAAATAGATCTGCCATAGTGTGTCCTTTAACATTTTGGGTTGCAACATATAAATGCCTGTGATCATTATCATGCTAATGGAGAAGCCACTAAAATTAGCAGTGAACAAATAAAATATAAGCATATAGAAAGCAGTGGCCACGTGTTAGAGATGTACCTCATCATCACTAGACTCGTCACCTGAAAATTCAGGGGAGTCTTCACTGTCAAGAATTCTACCACCCAGATGAGGCAATATTCTCTTTCTATCATATTGCATCTTTCTTTCCTTGGCTTTAATATTCTGAGGCAACTGTAAAAAGAAATGAATATCTCAGATAGATTGTAACATTGGAAGTTCATAATGTGTCTCTCATTGTGAGTAATTCACTCCTTATAATCTGACATGACAACTTGCCAAAATAGATGGAGTTGATTAGTTTGGACAAAATCTCGTTGCTTAAATGTTGAACATCCATTTGTTGATGTGGATGTGAAAGAATTGAATATAAATCATAAGAACTATGCAGTCAAATAAACACAAATTAGGAATGCATACCAAATTTGGAGGCCCCGTAGATGGCTCATCCTTTTGTTGCAAATTTTCCAGCAGTTCAGCCACTGAAGGTACTTCACTTCTTTGATCATAGGGTGCAACCTTCATAGGTAGCTTGTCACTTTCTTCATGAAGATTTTCAAACATTTCAGCTACTAAATCTCCCACAGTTCCATGCTCGCACTTATTGAATAAAGTAGGGCCTTCAGTCGCATATTTGACAGGGTTTTCATTTCTATCCTTTAGTGCAGTATGCCCAGAACTGTTTCCTCTCTGTGGCAGGGAACGAAAAGAAAACTTGGGTCTGGAACTTCCTTTATCACCTGTGACAGAAGCAGTCACTAAACGGTAAAAAAAAAGAATATAGAAGAAAAAGTATATGACAAACACTTCAAAGGATATGTAAATATGTTAATTTTCGCACTCTAACCACCTAGGATATGACATTAATAATAATCCGGTGTGTATATATACATATAACGCATTAAATCCTAGCTGTAAGTCCCACCCTTGATATGACACATTCCCAGTAACCCAAGTGTATGTGTGTGCGCGTGCATGCTCGCATGTGTGTGTGGAAACTTCAAATGAGAACTTCTCTAAGAACTTGATAATTCATCATCTCATAGATGATATGTATTGTTCAGTTTAGCACATCCAAATTGATCTGTGAATGAGAAATCAGGAGGTTTGACTTTTGAGAACTTCTTTTATGTCCAAAGTATAATTTAAAAAAAATGCAATTTCAGATGGAGAAAAGAGATACAGTTTGATGCATGGATAAAAGTTTGGATACGTCTTGGTCTGAGACTTAGGCTATTTAGGATGCCTAGATCAAGATGAAAAGTGTGGTTACCTAAAGTTTGGTTTGTTTTTGAGTACTCCCAAATATTATTTTGATAACTAGTATGCACATGAAGATTTCCATATATGGACGTGCATTCATCTGTGTATAAGAATGTATACACATATGTATGAATGTACATATTATACTGAAAAAGGTTTTATTTAATACCTCCTAAGGCATAATATGACCAACTACCAAACATATATGCAATAAGTTGGATAATTCACTTTGTTCATGTCCGTCCACATGCATCTTAGAACTCATTTTGCATCAAATATAAACTGAACAGCTTTTCTACAAAGGAGTAAAACAATATCAAGATTCATGAGTTAGAGGTTCTTAAAAGACATTATTTTTATTTTAGAGGTAATTCCTTTTGATTTAAAATCAAATTGTATTGCAAAAAGCATGAAAATACACTGACGATTAAAAAAATGAAATATGTAGTACCTGTATGAATTCCTCTCACTTCAGACATTTCAGAAGTAATTGGACAATATTCTGTCTTTTTAGACACAGTAGCCAACTCATGGGCTTCTTCAATAATAGCAGACCATGTGCATGCATCAGGTTGCTTTGGACTTGTCAAATTGGGCCGTCTATTAGTCTGAACTGCAGCAGCTCCATAATTGGCAGACAACTTTGAGAGCACAGCATTCTCCTTCAGAATCCCAACGAAGAAGAGCTTCAATGGAGTTGGATTTAAAAGATATAGATGTTCCAACTTCCAAATTTGCTAACTTCAGTGAATTTTATAAAGGGATATAAAATAAACACATCCTCCCACCCATTTGGAGCATAGCATTTCGTAAAAAGCTTCCCTTATCAAAGCGTATTCCCATTCTAAAAATCATCCCAACACAAGACAGCTGATGCCAAAAATACTAATTATAGTCACTTCCCCAAATTATATAGGTTATATAATGACGGTTAATATCATCTACCTATAGGAAGTTAAATTTTGAAGGCAAAATATCAATGTATAACCCCTCTTGAGTTTCTCAAACCAATGATTTGGAGTCAGCTTATCGAGGCATTCATATCAAGATATTTGTCAGCTATAAGTTTCGATTAATACTTTTATCAGATCGTAACAACTGAGACTCGTACACCGTAGTGAATCCCATGAGTGTGAAAAGCATTGAAGATATATGATGGGCAAAGAAGGGAAATCTACATGGATCATATCTGACAAATAGTTAGATTGACAATATCAAGCTAACTTTAACAAGGTAACCAAAACTTGCAGAAGGGAAACAGGCAACTAGCTAATATATGGCTGATTGAGAGATTGAAATTCCAAGCCTCGCTGAATTTGTCTAGCTAATGTATGTATTTTTGCCAAACATATTGGATATAGGATAATCACAATGTCAGTAGAAAGAGCATATTGCTTAGCTACAGAACATAGTATAATCATAATATTAATAGGAACGACCTATTGTAGTAAATAGCGGTAGCACTATAGAAGAATGGTTGACGATTAGTAAGCATGAGAAATTAATACATGTCATAAAGGAGTCACGAAACGACTCGGAAATATATTATATAAAAATGTTGTAGAATATTTGTTTCTGTTTCTTATATATAGAGTATTAATCTAAGTTCTTAAACTAATAATGTAAGGTTAGTGAATGGATCACATACAAAAATAAAACAATAATTGTAATAACTTACCTCATCAGAAATTGAATCATCACCAGATTCACTATGGTGATCATTACTTGACAGAGGCTGAATCTCATGGTTCCCATCTTGGACAGCATGCACACCAATCACGGAGTCAGAAGAGATATTCTCGAGCTTCTGGCCATAGCATGTACACATAATTACCATGTCAAACTAGTAGACTGTGGACAAATGGGAAAAATAACAAGAGATCCACTTAGACATGCCCCACTAGATGAAGAGGTGTTTCTCTGCCTCAAATTAACTTCATAAGCACCAAAAACTGGTTTCTTCTCTTTACCTGACTCCAAACAAAGCAAGCATGGATGCGCTCAGTTGACCAGGAATAAATTGCTTAAATTTTTATAGAAAATATCTACTACATTATGCAGCTAGCTTGTCAACCAGACACTGTAAATTGCTGCTTTTTTTAACTCCACAAAGACAAATAAAGAGAAAGAAAAAGCAAAAAGGAAGAAAGTTATCAGTGGGGTTCAATGTGAAACCAAGTGATGAAGAGGATGCCGTAGAGTTGCGCAAACTAGATCAATCAGATCCACCTTCCTCGAAGTTCACATGAATAAAGTAGATTTATTCATTCAATACACAAATCCGGTAAAGAAAAGTCTGCCTAGGTAAAAATTAAAATATTGCATTGTCACGTGATCAGGTCAAACTATATTGAACACTGCAAGTGATATAGTAAGTAAAAAGTAATATACTGTCCTTCGGTAAAAATTATTTCTTCAAGTTCCATGGAAATAGGCACTAAGAAGTATAAAAAAAGTATGACAGGAATCTAATAATTGATGGTACCTAGAGAGAGAAAAACTTATGTCAACTTAAGTGGACCATCCACCAAAGTTTCTATCCATTGATAAAAAATTTCTTCATATGATGCACGGATCTCTAGGTACCATCAATGGATAGAAACTTTGGTGGATGGTCCACTTAAGTTGACATATATATCATGCTCATATGCCCCAAAAGAAGTGACTAGAATTGTTTCTGAAACATTACCTGCAAGAGATTCAAGTCGTGATAACATTGGTAATGATAGCTGCTCCTGTTGAATGCATCTTAATCAGAAACATGGTGGTAAAAGATCTAAAACTTCAGGGGAGACGATAGAAAGTAATCTATTTCTAAGACAGCAAGCAACCTATTTCCAAGGTTTCCAGGAATATATGAAAAATGAGAATATTAAAACAACAATCATCCACCCTTGTGTCTAGGTAAACAAGAAGGAGGGTATTGAGTTACATAATATTGTCTAAATCTCAATGCCATGGCGAAGAGTAAATGATATCAAAGTTGATGGGTGAACTAGCCTAGTCAAGTAAATCAAATTTTAAGACAATTAGTGTCGGTTGCAATGGTGATGGACTTAACATATACTAAATAAACAATGAAGAAAATGGATCACTTGCGACCAGTGTTTTCAAAGGCACGCGCACGTCGCTACGCCTCATGCGCCTTGCAATACGGGGCGGTGGCGAAGCGCCTCGCATCTGATGTAGTAGCGCCTTTTGTGCCTCACATACATCCTGACTTTGCGCAGGGTGCATGTAGTACATACTCTCATATAGTTTTGTTTGTTAACATTTCAATCAAGTCTTTATACTCGATAATCCATATCCCAAAAAAGCAAAATAAATCCATTAGGCCTTTTTGGTGGTCTTCAATTGAGGACCATAACTAATCCTTTGTTTGGATATCAGTCTTGATTTGAGAATTTATGAATTTTGCTACAATCTTGTGTTAGCATTAGCATTAGAAATTAAGACCTTATACTGTGGTGTTGTAGTAAGATATTATTTATACTGATATATTTTTTATGTGAATTCCTAAACATGTTCATTCGTGCTTGATTATATATCTTGAAAATTTGTGTGCGGTGTGCGTCTCGCATCACTCGGGCGCACACATCGCATTGTGCCTTGCGCATGTGTGCGTAAAGATGCTTTGCGCCCCGCATTGCGCCTCGCGCATTGACAACACTGGTTGCGACAACCAAAAATGCATTGTGCTCAGAAGATCATGTTAGGTGACCAGTTAATTATTGTGCCTCGAAGATGAATATGACTCACCGAGACTCTTTCCTGGTTTAGGGTAAGTTAAGGGTTAAACCTTTGGAAAGCAAGCTTAACTCGCATAACCAAAAAGAAAAATCTAACAAACAACTAAATTAAGGTCAAGGTTGATGACATGCAAATCTAACAAACCACTAAATTAAGGTCAAGGTTGATGACATGCAAACACTTTCTCGTAGTTGCAATACCTAGGAACTTGTAATGATCTCATCAAGAAGAGGTTAATAAATAATAATTAGTCATAAAAACTAGGTTAAGTATGTCCTGAAGCTTTCTCAACCTTGAGTTGTGCTCTATAGCCATCCCTATTTCGGTGGGAAAAGATTAGATGACTAACAATGGCAGCGACTATGTTGCATGGGTACAGGTGCAGACATAAATATAGACACAGGTGCATAACGAAATACAGCAAAATTGTAAAAGTTAGGATACAAGGACACGGCATATACATACATGTAAAAACTAATAATCTATATGAGGCCAAAATTATTTTTCATTCACATGTTATGCGAACTAAAATCCTTATACCATTTTATGTTTCTTTTATCAAGTGGATTATAAATTAAAAAGTCGCTCGTTTCTGAACTAGAATACTAGATACCCAAACAACCCTTTAAAATCATACTTATGAACTAGGTATGTGCTAAAACGAGTCTCAAGTCCACTAAGTTGCATAATAAATTTGAGGTGAAGTTTACGATATATGTTCAAGAAATGTATCACAAGTTTTTTGAATTAAAGTGAGTGTTATATAATTGAGTAAACTTCTGTATAATTGAGAGAGAGAAGTGGAGTCATCACGAACATAAAATCTTAAAATTTTTTAAACGAGAAAAATTCATGCGCGCGAGTAATTACCCTAAGATGCTGCGCTTTGATAGAAACTAGAGCATTTTGATAAGGAGAGAAGAAGATCATAGAATTCTAGCTGTCAATTCAGCCCGAGAAGCAGCACATTGGTGCTCGGTTTTTCAATTGAATGAATAGTTACAGCTACAGCGCGCGCCACGAGGGATCGGAGCTACCTTGGGAAGCACTGGTCACACTTCATTCTGAGATCCTTCCGGTGAATAACGAGATCCATGATCTGGTCGATTGATTGTATGACACGATCCGAGAAGGTTTGAAGCTGTACACCGCCAGCACCAGTTGGAGGGAGTTATTACTGCAAGGTTGTGAGTAAAGCACAGGCAGACTTTAGTAAGTCTCAAAAGAACTTGGGTGGATAACCGAATGTGTATCTGGAACATATATCTCGGTGAAATACTTATCACCGTCAGAATTTGATCTATGCAGGACTTAGTGACGTTGAGACTGGCGTTATGTTAGCCACCAGATACCTATCTTCATGAAGTAGATTTGAACAGGTTGGTTGTGGTATGCCTAGTAACTTGGCTAGTTCAAGGAAAGGCGAAGCGACTTTATAGATTGAAATCCAGCTTAATAAAAGAAACATAAACAGATGCTATGAGCGCAGGGATTTAAGTTCTAGCCTATAACCATGTAAATCGAAAAATAATTTTGGCGCTCATACTACAGATTATAGTTTTTACATGTATGCTAATACCGGCGGACTGTCCCTGGTAGATTCTTAACTTTTACAGATTTTGCTGGTATGTTCGTTATTGGCACCTGGTGTCCTATATTATATGTCTCAGGCTGCGTACCCACATCCGAGCCCAACCATTGTCGCATGCCATTGATCTCAGTAATGCGCTAATCTTTCGCCCACCCGAATATAGGAGGGCCTATAGAGGCAGCTTAACTCCAGGTTGTTAGGAAAGCTTCAGCACATACTTTAAGCCTGTTTTTATGAACTAATTTATTGATTTATTAACCTCTTCTTCGATGAGATCATTAAATTCCTAGTCGCGTGAAGGCTTTGGCACGAACTTTAGCAGGCCCACCCGGTGATTTAGCTGCTATAAATACCCTATTAATCTAGGGTTTTGGTGAGCAAGTTGAGGGGGTTCTTTTGTTTCGGCTGCAGGAGAAAAGAAAGAGCAGCGAAGGAGGAGTGCATGTTGAGGGCGTTCTTTTGGCGGCAGCAATAGAAAAAGGCAAAGCTTGGAGGCGTGTGCAAGGGCAGCGGCTGAATTGTTTTGTGCGGGGTTTTCTTTTGGCTGCTGCAGACAGAGAACAAAAGCTACAGGGATTTTGGCGGCTGACTGAGAGGAGAAGAAGCAAAGTCTTTTTGTAGTAGTTCTTTGTTTTGTGCATCCCCTTTTAAGAGAGATAATTGTATGAGGGATCTGAGAGTTTGTGTGAGGGTTTAGATTGTGAGATTGTAAACCCAAGTTGTATCTCTCCCTCTAATAGTAGATCTCCCCCCTCCTTGCCCCGTGGACGTAGGCAGTTTGCCGAACCACGTAAAATTTGTGTTCTTGCCATGATTTGTAATAGCTTGTAGGATCCCTCGACGCGCAGTCCTAGAGCTGACGAGAGGACCCTCGACGCGCAGTCCTAGAGCTGACGAGAGGAAGAGCTGATATCTCACTTCGATGAGATATCTGGCTTTTTGATTCTTGTTTCCTTTGAGAAACGAGAATTTCATTGTGATCTAATCTCTTGTTGTGCACCTTGCGCACCGGAGGTGCTGCCGAAATTTCCGCTGCGCACAACAAGTGGTATCAGAGCTCCGGGTTGGACTTGGGAGCTTGTTTGAAGGATTCGCTGAAGGATTCTTATTTGAAGATTAGATCGACAATATGGGTGAAACAAGCACATCGGGATCGTCTCTTACGAAGACGATACATAGTTTGAGCATCAATAACATGAAGATTGATGTTCCGAAGTTCGACGGCAAGATTAATTTCGGATTGTGGAGGTGTCAGGTGATGGACGCCTTGGACGCTCAGAATTTGGAGGAGACTCTTGAGTTACAAGAGAAACCTGCCGAGATGGAAGCTAAGGTTTGGAAGAAGATGAATAGTAGGGCGTGTGGAGTTATTCGGTCATGCTTGACGCCGGATCTTATTTATGACGTGATGAACGAGACTTCGGTGAAGAATATGTGGGAAACACTCAATGAAAAGTATCTTACTAAGAGCATTGAGAATCGGCTTCACTTGAAGAAGAGGTTTTATCAGTTCAAGATGAAGAGGGGAGTTTCCATTAGGGAGCATGTTAATAACTTCACAAAGCTACTTTCAGACATGGCTAATGTGGATATCATGGTTGAGGATGAAGACAAGGCGATGCTACTTTTGTGTTCGTTGCCCGAGGATGATTATGGTACTTTTGTCCTAACTATGATTAATGGAAGAACTACTGTTAGTTATAAGGAGGTGACCTCAGCGTTGGTGAATTATGAGTTGAGGAAGAGTGTTGATGAGTCCTCCGAGAAGGCATCGGGAGATGCATTAGTAGTTCATGGCCGTGGTTCAAACCGAAGCAGGAGGTCGCAGTCTAGAGGTGCACATCGTGGGATTCGTAGGAATCAGTGTGCCTTTTGTAAAGAGGATGGACATTGGAAAGCTGAATGCCCAAAGTTAGATCGAGCCGAGAAGAATAAGGGGAAAGCTGTACAAGCTTCAGAGGTGAATGTTGTTAAGACTAGTGGCAACAATTCAGATTCGGATTCTTCAGGCTATTCGTTGTCTGTACTTCCGTCAGTTTGTGTTGCCAACTCTACAGAGTGGATGTTGGATTCGGGTGCTTCATACCACGTTTGTCCTAGGAGGGATTGGTTCTCCAGCTTTCAGAAGTTGGAAAGAGAGGATGTTGTGCTCATGGGTAATGGACATGCATGCTCTATTGGTGGTATTGGTACCGTTCGGATTAAGATGAGTGACGGGATGATGCGGGAGTTGGAAGAAGTGAGGTTCGTTCCGCAGTTATCGAATAACATCATTTCACTAAGAGCTTTGGTGGCATCTGGCTATAAAGTGACCTTGATGGATGCACGTTTGAAGGTCACATCGGGGTCCATGATTGTGATGAAGGGCGTCAGAAGAAGCAATTTGTATTATTTGCTCGGAAGCACGAAGATTGATAGGGAGATGACGACTTCATCAGATTCGGCTAGACTGTGGCGTTGTTTGATGCTGGGTTATTTGATTGGTAATGCCGTGCATAGGTTATTGAGGAGTGCGTTGACCTGCAGTTTGAAGTCCTGTGAACCCATTAGTATGAGCGAGAAGACCGAGGTGGATTTTGGCACTTCTATCCATAATTCGAGGGGTCTTCTGAGGGGTGTTCATTCAGGCATTCGGGGACCTTCCAAGGGAGCATCATTGGGAGGTAATAGGTATGTGGTTTCCGAAGTTGGGGATTGCTCTAGGCATTGGTGGGTTGCAACCAAGTCC